CACACACACTCTTGCGCAAAACAAAGTAGTTCTCTCACCCATGTCCTCCTCTATCATGCCAAACTCCGGGTCTCCCTCCGGCTCCTCCAGCTCCTCCGTGTCAGACACAGAGTCCATCTCCAGAATATCGTTTCCATTAATCATCCTGGTTCCAGTCACATCACAGGGAATCGAACATGTAGAGCAGTGTCACCAGCAGATCTGTGTGAGTGTGTGTGTTAATCCAGAGGTCTCCCGCTCATTGTCACTTCATTTCTCATTATCGATTCATAAAGTTTCTTCGGGTCCTGACATGAGCGCACAAACAGGGTGGGGTTGAGCGGAGGAGGAGGAGGAGGAGGAGGAGGAGAGAGGGGAGGAGGAAGAAGAAGAAGAGGAGGAAGAGGAGGAGGAGAAGAGGTGAAGAAGAAGAGGGGGAGGAGGATCAAGAGGAAGAGGAGGGGATAGAAGAGGAGGAGGAGGAAGAGGAGAAGAAGAAGATAAGGAGGGAGAAGAGGAGAAGAAGTGTGTTGATGATGTTTTTTGATTTAAACAAACATCTGGAACATCTGCACTCACTGATCACTTTATTAGGAACACCTACACAGATGTGTATCTAGTTACACTCACAGTCTATGGTTACACTACACATTCAGCTTATAACTGCATTCATCACCGAGGTCACATGACTGTGGCTACATGAACCTGTTTATTAATAATCCTTTCATAAATATCTTTCTGTCGCTTTAATGTGAACTGACTCACATTCTATTTCATAATAAATATTTTTATCGGTAAATGTTTCTAAATTATTCTTAGAGTTGTGGCTACGTGGCCCCAGCAAGTAAATGGTTTATTGGAACGTACTTTGGATTTATTCTTTGTACATAATTATAATGAAATGTAATATGTGGTTTTAATGGCTTCGTGTCATGTGACTTTTGTATTCCTCCACATGGCCCATAGCGTGGATTAAGAGTAGTAGTCTCTAAAGTTAACATCTGGGGTTCTGGAGGAGGGCACAGAGGAGAACTCACCTTCAGCTGTAAACACAGGATCAAACTCTTAGTTTGAGTTTACTTTATAAGAAGAGTTTAAAAATCTGGAGTTAAATCCCCCGAACACGAAGCTTGATGCGGGGTAGGAACGCTCTAACAGCGCGGCGACTGGGGAAGGAAAAGCGCGACGGACTACCATCGCTCATATTTCCGTTAACAACAAACCTGCTACGATCTCAAGTGTATTGTTAGTTAGTTCTTCTCAGCATGTCAACATAAGTAGTTAGTTATTATTTACAAGTGGATTAATTAGAGAACACGCAGCTTAGTGTCACCCTGACGACACGATGGGTGAATGTTCGTGTCGCTTCGTGATGAACGTGAATCAGCAAACAAATGATTCCGCCCAGTGTTAGCTAACAGGCTAAAGCTGTGCGGTGACATGCTACTGTAGCATCTGGAGAAACCCGGAGGAAAACATGAGCCTCGTTTGTTCAGCAGACATTTAGTTTATTCATTAAAACCAAAGACACAGAGGGGAAGCTCTGGTTTTAAATTCAGATCGTTTCCTGGTTGAGAAGGTTTTTCGTCAGGTGAGTTGACATCTTGTGATCAACAGGGAATATTTCGATTTTTTTATGAATATGTCGATGTAGACTGACTAAGGCAACCAGTGTTTAACATACTCTTTAATTCACACTGCCCATGCTCTAGTTATTGGTCATATTAACTGTGTATGTGTATTTATTTATTATTAAAATAACTCATATAACTGTAATTCAGTAACTAATGTGCAACTCTCTTACACTGTGTATATGTACTCTGCCCACGTATGAAAATACCCAGTTTACACTATATAGTATTTATATTCGGTTTATATTTGTATATTTCCTTGCCTTTATACTGCATGTTTACTAATGTATTACTTTATATATATGTTATTTTAGTACCTGTCTGATTTTTTATATATTATAATGTTTAGTAGATGTGCAGCAAATTTCGTTGTACAATGACAGTAAAAGCATTACATTCTATCCTCTTTGGCCTGTAATTCTTTTGTCACTGTACTTACAGGTCAGCACATATTGCAGATCGGCAAAATGAAGATGTTCTCAGTGGCCCACAAGACGGTCTTTGTGGTGGACCACTGTCCCTACATGGCCGAGTCCAGTCGTCAGCAGGTGGAGTGCGACGTGCTGACAAAGAGTCGGGCTCAGGGGGTTATTCCATTGGCTCCTGTGTCCAAGTCCCTGTGGACGTGTGCTGTGGAGTGCTCCATGGAGTACTGTCGGATTCTCTATGATATTTATCCAACGGACAAACTGGTAAGATTGATTTTTAAAATTTAGTTTTGTCTTTATCTTGTGCTTAAATGTTATCACTAGCAAAGTTGTTAACAGTTTGTGCCACCTCTTTATTTTACAGGTTAATTACATTGTGAGTGATTCAGAGTTTCACATATTGAACACCTGGAGGCAGGAGAATCAGACCACTCACGAGGTAATCATCTGTCTGTTAAACCCCAGTTAACCAGAATGCTGTAGTTGTATTTGCTTGTGTCTTCCACAGCTCCAGATTTTAGAGAAGGGCAACATTCTGGGTTAAGTCTTCTTCAGAACTAGTCTTGAAGTATGATTACATAATTTCTCTCCCTCTCTGGCAGCTGATGTCAGCTCTGGCAGCTGTTGGGCCACCTAACCCACGTGAGGACCCGGAGTGTTGCAGCATCCTGCATGGGCTGGTTTCTGCGGTGGAGTCGTTGTGCAAGATCACAGAGTTGCAGCACGAGAGGCGCACCAGTCTCATGGACACGGCTGAGAGAGTTGCCAACAGGGGTCGAATTATCTGCCTCACCAATGCTAAAAGGTAAACACTGTTGTTAATGTGCCTGAAATCAACAGAAACAACTAGGGGATGTTGTATTGTCACTTTTTTGTATTTGTGCATATATTTGGCCTTATCTTAAGGACATGATTTATCACATTACTTGATTTTTATTAAGCAAGCACCATATAATACAGATCCTTGAGGAATGTCCCAATGTCTCCTTTTGTGTCTCATCATACAGTGACACTCATGTGCGCATGTTGGAAGACTGCATCCAGGAGACAATTTTAGATCAGAACAAGCTGGCGGCAGGTTCAGACAGGTCAGTGTCAGATAACGTTCAAAGAAACGTCCCCCTGGTTTTAAATGAATCTGCTTTGGATGAACCTGGAATAGAAAAAAATTAATTGAAATGTGATATTGATAAAACTCGGATACTAAAGTCAGATACAATTGTGAGTCGTAGAATTGTTTTCCTATTTCTAACTCACAGTTGTGTGTTTCAGGCTCATGGCCATTCAGCAGTGTGAGCTGGTTTTAGTTCACATCTACCCACAGGGTGAAGACACGCTGGTGTCTGACCGAACTAAGAAAGAGGTGGGTGCTGACGAGAGGCTCCGTTTTTGAAGAATCGCCATCAGAATAACCCAGATAAAACAATTTGCCTATTGGGTATCTTTAACACCCAACCAAACCTAATGGATCCAAGTCACAGCTGTTATTTCTCTTCTCTCCCAGATCTCTCCTCTGCTCACTAGTGAGGTTCACAGTGTTCGTGCTGGGCGGCACCTCGCCACCAAACTCAACATTCTGGTCCAGCAGCACTTTGACTTGGCCTCGACCACCATAACAAACATCCCCATGAAGGTAAGGGCCGTCCTGCCCTTTAGTCTGGCTTTGACATGCCTCATCATGAAATAAACTCACATACATTTCAACATATTTTTTTCTTTCTCTAATATAACCTTGTCATGTCCAGAATGCATTTCACCATTTCCACTTTTTACTTGATTGCTTTGTTTTTGTTATTTTGCCTCTTCTCTCACAGCCCTCACACTTTTTCTTTGTGCTTGCTTAACCTCTTATGTTTGAAGCTTTCCCTCACCTCTAATGACTCATGAAACTTTACAGTCTTATCTTTTAGTTTTATCTCATCTGCACGTTGATATGACTGTGAACCTGCTGCTGGTTTCATGCTGTATTTTCTGTTTTGCTAGCCCACATTAAATGTTTGCGAACAGGTTAGTACTCTTACCACACACACATGCAAGTGAGGAAGGGGCAGAGTTGACACCATGTAGTGTACAGTATATATTTTGAGCTCTACTGTTGCAAACAGGTTTAGTTAATTTTGATGTGAATAGTTGAGCTGGTGAGGCTCCAGTGAAGGACAGGCAACTCTGGTCTCATTTGGACAATTGGGGTTTCAAATGGGGTTTGCTGGAAAAATACAAAGTCTTCTCACATTTATAACAACTCAATCATTTTAAAATAATTCAAATTATTTGAAGAAATCCCACATTTTTGGTTGTGTTGAGATAATGTTTTCCACACAATGATTAAAAAAAAAAAAGCAGAATATTATTATGAAAGCTGCCTTCAAGTCGAGACATCTGAGACCAGCATTGCCTCTTCTGAGTTAAAATACTGTTAGTGTCTGTCAGGTGTTCTCACCTTTTGAAACTTATCCCAACTCTCCCAGGTCGTCGTTTCCCTCATCAGTTCCCACTCACTCTCCCTTTAGTGTCTTTGTGTGCTCCATTGTGCTGTCTTGATAACTAGTTCTTTAACCCTGACCATACTCTAAATGTTAAAACATGATTCCACCTGTGCTAGTCTTAAAACTACAATGTATTTCCGAAACAAAGCTCAAATTAAAAGCCAAAGTTTGTTTTTTACATCATTAGTTTTCAGATGCTGTTTCGGTGCCAAGGCCAAAATGTATACATCTGTCTTTTTGTAAATTGTCCAACAAGTATAGGCTCAATAGAAGCTTTGTATTGTGTGACTTTAAGTGTGTTTTCATTAAAACAAGTCTCTTATGTAGATAGGAGAAAACCTACTCGAGTTATTCAGCAAGTCAACATTTTCCTTTTAATTTGCCCATCATCATTTACCCTTCGGAACATGAAATCAGCAGTGTGTGTGTTTGTGCATTTGTGTGGGTGTGTTTTTGTTTGCGTGTGTGTGAGTTTACACATTCATGCTGACCTGTATTTGTCGTTGTCTCTGTGGATGGACAGGAAGAGCAGCACGCCAACACATCAGCCAATTACGACGTTGAGCTCCTGCATCACAAAGACGCTCACCTGGAGTTCTTTAAAAGTGGTGGGTACCGGTTATTGGCATTTTTAAAGGCAAAGGCCCCACTGTTTAACAACCACAACTCGAGACACAACAAGATCGACAACCTGTGTTTTTAGTTGTTGAATATGTTTGAAAGTCACTCAATTATAATCAGAATTTAACAGTTCACATTTTGTCTTTTCACTTTGCAGGAGACTTGCACATGGCTGGAACCAGCACTCGAGAAAATGGACTCAAAGAGACGGTAACTCTGAAATGGTGCACTCCAAGAACCAACAGCATAGGTGGGCACAGCCAGCTTACCTTCCTTGTTGTTAGTAATTATTGAACTTTATGAAAATGTTTAATATGTATTGTACTCTAAAAGTTTTAAATCATAATGCCAGGTTTGTTGTCCCAAGTTTTCACAAGTTAAATATTTTATATAGAAATGTCCTTATTTTTACATATATGATGTAACTATTAATTTTTTTAATTGGCGGAAGTTTCTGGATATATACTTTTACAACAGTCCTGTTGATGGTTTGGAGGTAGCTGTAAGTAAAGACAGGTAGAGTGCATTGCTCAGGAAAGGCAGTTATCTGTTGACCCAACTGTAATGAAAGATTCCTGATTTAGTTGTTTGAGCTTGTTCTTTTTCTCCACCTCAGAACTACATTACTGCACTGGAGCGTATCGCATCTCCCCCACAGATGTAAACAGTCGACCATCGTCATGTTTGACAAATTTTCTCCTGAACGGTAAAAGGGATAAATCTGTATTTAAAACATTTTCTAGACTATAGTTCTTTATTGGAGCAGGTGTCTTGTCTGAGATGCTGAATGACATTAACAGATGTTACCATCAAGTCAGTGGTTAAGATTAACCTGTAGAGGGCAATAGTTTTATCATCTTTCCTGTAACCACCAACATTTCCTCTATCTCAACTGATCTTATCACTAATTGTTTGGGGACGACTTCTCTTACCAACCGCAGGTCGATCAGTCCTTCTGGAGCAGCCCAGGAAGTCGGGTTCAAAGGTCATCAGCCACATGCTCAGCAGCCACGGCGGCGAGATCTTTCTGCATGTGCTCAACAGCAACCGCTCCACCCTCGAGGACCCGCCCTCCATCAGCGAGGGCTGTGGAGGCCGAGTGACAGATTACAGGATCACAGTGAGTTCTGCTCAAATCACACCGTTAAAATGCATTAAGTACCAAGATGGTTCTGATAGGAACTGATGTTTGTCTCCCTCAGGACTTTGGAGAATTTATGAGGGAGAACCGTCTGACCCCAGTGTCAGAGTCTTCCCACAATCCTTCGGGCAAGCTGCCAGCTGAGAGGGCTAAGGCTCAGCTAGAGCGTTACACTCGATACTGGCCAATGATCATCTCCCAGACCACCATTTTTAACATGCAGGCCGTGAGTAGCATGTGAAAATATTTTGTGGCTTGTTCTATTATTGTAATCTATTATTATCTGCCTGGTTTTCTTGTGAGAGTTTGCCTCCATCAGCTCAGTCTGTCTTTCTGCATTTGCCCACTAGGTGGTTCCTCTTGCCAGCCTGATAGTGAAGGAGACTCTGACTGAGGACGATGTTCTGACCTGTCAGAAGACGGTTTACAACCTTGTCGACATGGAGAGGAAGAACGACCCACTTCCTATTTCCACTGTGGGATCCAGAGGCAAAGGCCCCAAGAGGTATTTATTTAAAAAAATAAATAAAACGAGCAACAATGAGCAACAATGACCCAGATAAGGAAAAGCAACCATCAGCAGGCTCGACTGATTTTCTGTTTTCATTTCCAGAGATGAACAGTATCGTATAATGTGGAACGAGCTGGAAACTTTGGTGAAAACTCATGCCGGAGCCACCGACAGACACCAGCGGGTTCTGGACTGCATCATCGCCTGTCGCAGCAAACCACCGGAGGAGGAGGAGAGAAAGAAGAGAGGGAGGAAGAGGGAGGAGAGGGAAGACAGGACGGAGAAAAATGGCAGCAAGGAAACTGAGGACAAAAGCTGGCAGGACTCAGAGAGGTAATTAACACTCGATTACATATACATTAAAATATTAATCATAACAAGAGGAGCAGTTGTATTTTCCTTGGCTTTCTAATATTCTTGTTTTGTCGTCGTTACACTAAAGGCTAAAGGGTTTGCTGGATAAAGAAGAGCCAGAGTCAGAGGTGATCAAGGACTCCCCCGATTCGCCAGAGCCGCTCAACAAGAAACCACGACTGTTGACAGAAGAGGTTCAGCCTCCAGAGCGAGCAAAAGGTATCAAAGTTCATCAGACTCTCACACTACAGAACAGCAAACACCCTTAAAATATCCTGTACATTAGATCAGTCGAGGCCCAACTTCAAGGGTATTTTGTTTTTGTGTGTCGCTGCAGGTCCCGTCTCGCTCCTCACCATGTGGACCAATCGCATCACCACAGCCAATTCCAGGAAGCACCAAGAGTTTGTCGGACGAGTGAGCTCAGTCAACAACAAGTTTGAGTTGTACCAGCAACTGAAAGATGAGAACGGGTGTGTTACTGTGAGATGTCAATCATTCGTCACTTTGTGTGTAACATTCCTCTGTGTGTCTTAATGTGTAACAGGTGCATTATGTCCAATTTCTTTACATTTTAAACATGATTCCATCTGATACTTTGTTATTTATGTATCAGACTTGACATTTTCTCTCTTTACAGGATGGATGTTCATGAAAACGGCAAAGCAACCAGATGATGTCGCCATGGATACCCTGCGCTTCAGACCTTTCCCAGGATGAGATTGTGGATCAGTGTTTTTCAGACTTTGGCGCCACTTTAAACCCCCAAAAACAAGGACATCGAAAGAAACTCGATGAACAAGCGGATTTATAGTTTTTTTACCCATGTTTTTGTAGATATGATGTTCACATATTGTGTAACACAATAAAAGCTGTCAGTAGAGAACTTTGCTGTTGGTGTTTGCATGAATTCACTTGAACCAGGATAAAAATCTTCTGAGGTTATAGAGAACTTCAACTTTGATCAAGTATTTAGAGGTAAAAAACTTTTTTGCTTTACTATGTATTTGAGAAATCATAATACGGAGGGCGAGGCTGCAACGCCTTGTCACAAGTTCTTGGTCTTTGCTTCCCTGGAAGTGACCTCTCATTATCTTGTGTGAGGTCGATCCACAGCCTCAGCGGAGGTGGCGGCAGCTCAGGTTGGAGCAGCGGAGGCCGTCTGGGTCTTATGGCTCTCGGGTCTCTGCTTTGAACCGAGAGCAGGCGGTTTGCAGGCCAAATGGCAACTGTTCTCGACCTTCCACGACCTTTGCAGAAATAAAGAATTGTAGCGACGAGGAGAACGATCAGGATGAGGAGGCAGATGACGAGGAGAGCTGTGAACACGCCGGCCATCCATGGATAAGAGTTAGACTCCTGTGAGGTGGGAGTAGATGCAGAGGCACAGGGGTTGGAGGTGGGACTGAGGGGGGTATTGGTGTCTGGTTTCACAGTGGTGTTTACAGCAGGATTAAATGTGGGAGGGGGAGTTGTGGGAAAACAGTCTTGTCTGTAGCTCACAGGTCCGACTTTAATGACAGGGAACTCTGGAAGCATCGCCTCTCTGAAGTCCGGGTTGACTGATCCGTCTACAGACCCCATGTCCAACCACATGTTGTGTATTCTATCAAAGCTGCATCGTGCTTTCTTGATTTGTCTCATCTCACACAAGCTGCGGTTGTACCAGGACACCACAGTGGACCCAGGTGTCATGGAAACCACAGAAAGGTGGTGGCTGCTCGAGCTGTTGAAGAAGCGAGACAATTTCCTCAGCAAGACATCGACCATGTGGCGGTGACGGAGGATGAAGTGGAGGCTGCGTCGAGCTGTCAGGGTGAAAATGTGACAGGGTTCAATGGGGCTGCGCAGCAGATCCAGAGTCAGCCGCAGCGAGGTGCTCAGACCCTGTCGATCCCGGGCAACCAGGAGGAGGTGCTGAGGAGCAAAGTGCAGGTCCACCTCCAGCGGGACCCCACGAAGCTCCACACCATCCAGGGCCAACCAGGTGCCCGTGCTGAGGGGAGGCCCGTCAATCAACCTGATCTCCAGGGAAAGTGCGTCTGCGTCGCCATCATCTGGATCCAGGAAGGTTTCAGGGGGGATTGAGTAGAGGAAGGGGAAACCAACTGTGGCCACCAACACTGGGATAGACTGCATCACTTTGGGTGGAAGATTCAAGGAAACTGAAACACAAAATAAAACGATGTTTAACTTATTGCACAGAAACTCTGGAAAACCTGTAAAAACAACTTTGTTATATGATTTTTGACACATGATGTAATATTCATTGTTTGATATTAAAGGTATCCCATTCAGTTTTGACCACTAGTAGCACTTTGGAATAATATTAAATCTGTGGTTTCCTGTTTTGCTTTGTGAAGAGCTGATGTTCTAATAGGTGATTAATTGAAACTGAAACAGTTCTCCCTATTATGTATAATTTTTGGTTGTCACCTTAATTTTGTGCACAAAGGGAAATATCTTTTTTAAAATCACTCTTTCCTACAATATATTAAATTTTTTAATAGCATATCTTATCTAAGCATATCTATTTCTCTTAGCTGTGGTACAGGTGCAATGAGATTTAAATTCCTCAATGGCAACAATGACTGAGAATAATAAATTTCATTTAGTTACGAGGTGCTTTACAAGTTAAACATGAAGCATTGAAGGCAAATAATAGGAAACAGTTAAAATCAATTTGTAATAGAACTTACTTGAGTTACTTAAGTTGTCCACTGACGTCTGGGTTGAGAAGAATTGTGAATCAATCTCTAAAGTCGTCCATAGCTTGTGAACAACTCGTGAATAACTCGTCACACAGTCAAGAACATCCTCCTCATGAACTGTAGGTGTAGTGTTTGGCTCCTGAGCAGCAGAGGGAGCAGTTGGATCAAAATGGCCCTGGAACACTGGGCCTCCGCTCTGGGACATTGAGGGTAGAACTGGAAATGTCATGCTGGGTCCTGATGTAATTGTTGTCAGGGCTGTTGTTGTTGAATATAAACTTGTTGTCATCCCAGGGATTAAGAACATGTGGGATGGAATAGCAATATGCTCAGATTCCTCAAACTGCAGTGTATGGAGAAGAGTTTGTAACATTGATGGGATGAATAGCAAACTTTTATGATCGGATTTAACAGACAGTTCTTCAAACAACTGGTCTTCTGATTCACTTAATGGGACTGAGGTTATTTGGGAGATTTGAGTTAAAGACTTAAAGAAAATATGTTCTCCTGTACATTTTGATTGAAAATCCTTCACATCTTTGCTTTTCAGATTCTCCTGCAAAGAGGAGACGTCAAAATCAGGGAGCAAAGATCTGGAGAATGTCTGCAGCAGAGAGATCAGAGATGGTGATGCTTTGACAAACTCTATGCTAAATACTGGATTTGTGGTATCAGGCGTCTCAAGTTGTGCACTGAAAAGCTCAGAGGGCAAAGCTGGAGTAAACATCTCTGCTGAGGGCTGGAACACGGACGTCCTGATCCAAGACTCCACTTCAGTTAGTCCAGACGGTGTCAGCTGACCCGTAGATGTGGTTGATGACTCACCCCGAGTTGTTACATTCTGCTGAGACACGGCGTCCTGACTCATGCCAAACGAAACTGGGGACAGATGTTGAATTGTCTCACCCTGCTGAGTTATTGATAATTGTTCGCTTGTTAAATACGAGGTCGGTGACAAATCTGGAAGCAGCAGAGTCGACGGTATTTTGTTCGATGATGGCGCTGACTGTGTTGGCTCTGATCTGGAGGTTGGTGGCAGGACATCGGTTTGTTTCTCTGTTTGAGGTGGATGAGAAACAGATGGGAGGGTTTGGAACGTTGGCTCCACTGTGTTGTGGGATTTTAGAGGCTCATGGGTAAAGATGATGTGGCCTACATAAAAAACAACAATTCAGTTCAATGGAAAAACTGAAATTCCACAAATGCAATAGAAAGGTGAGGAAGTTAAACCAAACTACCATTATTGTCGTCAGGGATTGTTATGGGATGTACTTAACTGCTTCATTCATTCATCCATCTTTTCACATGCAGTTATAAAGTAGTTCCACTGACAAATAATGTTCTAACATTTTATCACTATTTAATAAGAAACTGCTACATTCAATGGATCAGATGACTACATGTAATGTAGAATTTGATAACCATTGTGCAGAAAACACAGAGTATATGTAATATATATATATATACTGTATTTTTTGCATTTTAAACATTTTAACAGGGTTAGCGAAGATGCATCTTCTATCTTTATATAAAGCCTATGGTTAATATTCTTCAGCAAGTTAATGCTATTATTGCTCTGTATCCTTTTCGTGTGTAAATAAGCAGCTGTTAGCTAATACATTTCTTGCAGCAACTTAAAATGTGATTGTACTATTGTCCACAAAAGGCCAAACAAAAAAAAACAGTTAATGCAAGATAAAATATTTTTTTCTTGTGTGTGCCTATATTAAATTGACTCATTATTATGTGATCTGTATGTGTGGCCTTCAACAGAACATGCAGCTTTAAAGAATTCTTTATTTTCCATATCAGCCATGGTTCTCATGTTTCCATCACTACATTAGGCCATATGTTCCTCCATTCATGCATCCGCTCCATTCAGCTGTGGGCTCCCTTTCAAACAAGGTCAAGTCATTACAACATATGACCCCAGTGACTAAGCACCCAGAACAATCCCATATAGTCATATAGAAGTCAACAGCAGCAGACTTACCCTGTGAGCTCACTGTGGGCCGTCTCTCTGAGTCAGTGCGGTCGGCTCTGTGAGATTCAGTTTGGGGGGAGGTTTCCTTCAGATGAGGTCGCCGGGTCAGACGAGTGGCTCGCGATACCCCGTCGACGGCCTCATGTGTCAGAGTGGGAGTGACACTGTAAGAGGCTGGGGTCAGCGGCAGTGAAGGGTAAACACTGTGCAGCGTGGATGATGGTACCAGCGTTGAGAGAGTGGTGTCAGCGGAAGGTTCCCCAACAAAATGTTCCACTGTTGATGTATGTTGAGGCAAAAATGGAGATGAGAAAACGTCTGTGGTCCACAAATACTCAGAGATACTTAATGACGGATCTAATGTGAGTTCTGGTTGCTCACTGTAGCCGGTCGCTTCTACGAGAGGTTTTATTTTTGAGGCATTTTGCTTTGTATGTACCCCAGAATTGTGTGTGTGCGACGTTGTCAGACTAATTCTGCCAGGAACTACATCTTGCACCCTCACAGTCTTACCATCTTTGTCATATGGATTTAAAAAAGTCTTCAAAGAGAGAAGAGAAGTTGAGGGTACCTGTATTTTTTGCACGAGATTTGTTTTTGAAATAAGTGGTGGCATCTCTGAATGTATATCAGAATTGAAGCGGTAAATCATCGTGTTAAAAGTCTGCTCTTCAGACCTGAACTTTAAGATATTCTCAGGTGAAACTGGTAAAGTATATGCATGTTTGCTCAAAGAGTTAACAGCACTTTCTGTTTGATTCTTTGTATGTTTTGGCTCCAATTTTGTCCACTCGTGACTCTCATTCAATAAAAAGGTTGACACACTTGGCTCCAGTTGTAACAGACGAGAATATGTCCCGAAATTGTCAAGTCTCACCAACTGATGGACTTGAGTTGGAACGATCAAATTTGGAATAGGTGTAAATTTGATCTTTTGCAAGTCTCTCTTAACTCTTTGCCAAAGCCCTCCAGGAGCACAAAGTATCCTCCATTCAAGCACAGAAGCTCCCAGCAGCCTCGCCAAAGCTCCCATCTTTACACTGTGCTCCAGGACCGTGGCTAAATCCGACTGTCCCTCCTCTCCTGGACAGCCGACTGGCCACACAAGCTCAGCGGTGTCTCCTGAGATGTCTGCTTTCTCAGCAAACCCACTTTGCCCACTAACCCTGAGCCTCTTTAGTCGTTGCATGAAGGGTTTATCTTGTGTAAACAGGCAGACAGAGCCCATTGGCAGGTGGAGGTAGTCGGCCATGGTGCTGACCAAATGGAGACGCTGGCTGGCGTTAAGAGTCACAGGGTTGAGCTGAAGGAGGAGGTTAGCCCAGGTCATCATCTCCCCCTCAGAGCAGGGCAGAATGTATCTGTGAGACACAGAGGAAGATCTGGTTTCATTTCAAGTCTGTGGATATTCATAGGTTTTATAAGAAATTAGATAAAAACTAACAATGTACTGAAACCACAAGTAAGACTCTCTTATGGTGTAGACCTCTACTCTAAACTGTATTTTTTAACTAAAGCCTTGATTCTATAGTTCTGGTTAACCAAGCTTAGTTGTGTTTGTTTGCAAAAAATGTTTAAGGCCATTTTATTATTAAAAATGAACAAAATCTTTAATTTTTACAAATCAAAAATAATAAATCTTTTAGCTGCCAACAGAATATTTTTTAACATTATTTATCCATTTAAATGTTAATATAGATATTTAATTGAGGGTAACTTTAGTATTATCTGTAACCTTTTCTCCATCTCATTTATTGCCCCTCCCCTCCTCTGATTTCCTGCCTTACCTTGCTGGGTCCCTGTCAGTCATTGGTTTATTGCGGATGTGCAGGTAAAAACATTCAGCACACATCTCGCCTGTTACAGACACTTTAAGCCGGTATATCCCACAATCCTCGGTCAGAGCCAAGCCAGCCAGAGTGTTACTCTGTCGCTCAAACATCATCCAGTGGGGCAGTGTGCTGTCCCCATCAGCCAGGGTGAGCTGGAGGAAAGAGTAACGCTGATGTTATAAAAGGCAAAAAAGGGATAAATGTTTGAAAATATGTGGGAAGATAATCCTACAAGTTGCTTTGGTGCTGGGGTGATACACAAGTGAACGCAGGTCTTCATCATTCACACATTTTTAGTCACCGTCATGAAGGCCAGTGTGCCACAAAGCGTAGGTGACATATCCAGCTCCCAAGTGTGGCGGAACAATAACAGAACTAAAAAAAAGGAGCCAAAGATTTATTAAAATGTCCATTTACTGTAAAAATCCCCAGATCCTTGAAAGTGGCTCAAATAATTATGATAAAAGTGTCCAACGCTCCAGGAAAAAGTGTGTGAGAAAGTCACTGCAGCAGGGATGGGACCTTTGCACAAAAATACATAAGTAGAAGGCCAAATATATCATTAAGGAGTAGTTTCTACCTGGGAGTGGTAAGGAGGGCCTTCATTGAGGACTTCATATCAAAAGATCTGAAATGTACTCAGGGGGAAGTCCAGAACGGACCTTTAAAGTCAGCAATAAAATCAATTCTAAGATTTACTGGTATTCTTATTGAGTTGAGCTGGGTAAGGGAGTCTGGCAGCTGGATGAACTGTGTTTACGTAGACTCTGTTGGCTCAGGCATAAGAATAAGTCACATATGGCTCGTTTGCAACATGCCACCGAATTGATAATTCTTGTTGTTGCTTTTAAACTGTTGTTACATCCTTATTATCTGTGTATTCGTCACTGAACCATGCTTCCAGCGTTCAGACATGCAACATCCACATGAAGCTCAGCTCACCTCGTAGTGATCCATGCGTCCCAGTGTTGCAGGGAGAGGGAGCTTCAGTAAGAAAGGTGATCCTGCCTCAGACGTGAAGTTGGGAAACCCACCGTCCTCCGACCTTATGGGACAATGTTGCATGAAACTTTGATTGTGCACCACATTCCTCAGCAACAGCAGTAGTTTGAGGTAGAAGTCCAGCGGCTTTTGGTTAAATGGACACGTATGTTTGACAGGGAGGTCATCCATCACCCATTCAACTGCCAGTCAGTCACATAACGATGGACGACATTTTCAGGCTGAATCCTCTGTTTCCGTCTGTTCAGGTTTCTTCATCAGTGACGTGAGTGAACAGAAGCTCTGTCGAGGTTCAAAAAGACCAAACACCAGTGATGATTCATCTTCTCATAAACAGTGTACAGTACAATGACACACTTCAAACTGCAGTTCACAACAAGTCAGAACCTGATCCTCATGAACAGAGCTCATTCTCTGTTGGAGGTCCAGTTACAAGTCACCAGTGGTTACTAGGATACCTGCCGTGCCATCGGAGACTACATTAATGACTTCTGCGACTCAAGGTCAGGGATGGCTGCCCTCGGCTCAGTCTCTGGGGGCATCGGTTCAGAAGGTGCAAGGTGTTCTTGTGACAGGCAGGCATTTCAACATTAAATTCTTTCTGACGTGGTGCGGAATGTTTCTGTTTGCACTGTGAACGCCTAGATCAGGGATAAGGACAGAAGCTGTCACCCCTTGTTAGGCAATATGTGTTTTGTGACTGTGGATATATAAAAAATAAAAGGTTAACTAAACATACATAGAAAAATACCTTTACAAACATTGCATTCATTTGCTTATGACCTTATACTGAAGGTGCATTGTTTGTTTAACGGAGCTCCTTATGTCGCAAAAGGTGATAGGAAGGAAATTATCTTGTGTAAAGAAGTTATCATCTATGCTAAATAAGACATTTGTTTTTGCTCAAGAACTTCTCCCTGTGTCATATACAAGTGTTACTGTTATTATTACAATACTTTATGATACTGATAACAATCACCAGTAAAAACATATTAGAACACATTTAAGTAATAATTAATTCAATAGAGGGTATGTAAAATATAATCGTTTGGGACTTTAGGGGCCACCTGTCCAATCAGCGAGGATTCATGCCCCCTATATACCTACCTTTCCGGTTTGGTTAGTGCCATTGTGTTTTGCCATTGCGTGTTCTGATTTGTCGTTGTGTTTTCTGTTTTACTGTTGCGTGTTCTGACTTGTCGTTGTGTTTTCTGTTTTACTGTTGCGTGTTCTGACTTGTCGTTGTGTTTTCTGTTTTACTGTTGCGTGTTCTGATTTGTCATTGTGTTTTCTGTTTTACTGTTGCGTGTTCTGATTTGTCATTGTGTTTTCTGTTTTACTGTTGCGTGTTCTGATTTGTCATTGTGTTTTCCGGTTTGCCTTTGGGACTTGCATTTTAGGGTCACTGCACTACAGTTATGTTGATAAGTCAGAGAAGCAAACACGCTTTTCAACTTTCAGTGTCAGCAGTTGAGGAAGACGGATTAACTTCCACCCTTCTCAATATTTTCTGAAGTCAATACAGGTAACTAAACAATTTAATAATACATTTTGTGTAGAAAATATATTTCAATATGTTTTATAAACATATTTTAATTGACCTTTTATCTTTTATCCCACATAAATGTCAGTAAGTTTGTTCAACATATTTGCAGTATATTGGTGCAGCAGCTAAAAAAAATCTTCAGCACATAGATTTCCTTTTAGGAACAGTTGACTTTGAAGGGTGAGGAAGGGCTGGTGGTACACTGTTATTCAGAATAGTGCTCTGTGTTATAGATATGATTAATAAAAACACCATTGTTTTATATTTATTGGTAAAAAGAAAAATATCCCAAAACATTAAGAAGTGCAACAGAAATTCAGATTCTTGACATTTTCTTTGCAGGGTCTGAAAAGTGAAGCCAACTGTAGGAAGATTAGAATAGTATATTTCAGCTTCATTATTTTACAACGGGACGAAGTGGAGCTGCATCGTACATCTTTATACACAGTCTTTTGTTTAAACTCTGTAAATCCTCTGTAAAAGTAAATCTGACTGTTGTGTATTTGCTTCAACGAGAGCAGGCTCTCATGTAGCTTTAATTTGTTGAGCGGGAACATGTGAGTGTTTAATTGTCTGTATCCCACCCTGACAGACATCAGAGATGGCAGGAAACTGGCTGGGGCTGCTGTCGATAGGTGTGTTTTACTTGATTGTACTTGGCATCGGCATCTGGGCATCCAGAAAGTCCAAATGTGAGGAGAGGAAATGCACGGGGAACAGCAGTGAAGTTACAATGGTTGGAGGGCGGAACCTCAAAATCTGGGTCAGCATCTTTACTATGTCAGGTAAAATAATAATCATGGCAATATTCAAGTCAGAGCTAAACGGGACATTTAATTTTTTAAAATGTAGAGTACTTAACACATCTTTTTTTTCACATAGGCTGTATGTATTCTTCTGTTCTGCAGCTACTTGGGTGGGAGGAGGCTATATTCTGGGTATTGCTGAAGTGGTCTACGATCCAACGAAGGGGTTAGTATGGGTATTGGGGCCCCTTGCTTACGCTCTAAGCATGATTATAGGTGAGTGAGGTCTGAATGACAGACAGAATGTAGGTTTGTTCATCATTTTGAGTAACTTTTGAAAAGCATTTGAGGACGGACCAAGATAAAGATATGTTTAAAGTTAAAATATTTCTGTTTGCTTGACCTCAGGTGGACTGTTCTTTGTCAAACCTATTCGCTCAAAGAAATATGTCACCTTCATGGACCCATTTCAAGAGAAATATGGAGACACACTGGCTGCTGTTCTCTTTATCCCTGCTCTCCTGGCAGATATTTTTTGGACAGCATGTATTCTTGGTGCACTGGGTAAATCAGACACAATAACTTAATGGATGCATGTCAAACAAAATCATTACGTGGAAACAAAGGATGAAGTGAAAAGTATGAAGCAGTGACACTGTACATAGATCTTTGGGGCTGTGATACTGTCCTCATGCTTTTTACCAGTGAAAATGACATGAAAAGTATTTTTTGTTGAATTATGTATTATTCTGAATCTACGCCTCACTCGGAGTATGTTTGTGTTTACAGGAGGAACAGTAAGTGTGGTACTGGATATCTCCTCGCCGCTGGCTGTGGGCATCTCTGCTGGTGTTGCCATCGTGTACACATTGATGGGAGGACTGTACTCTGTGGCCTATACTGATGTCGTCCAGCTTGGCTTGATGTTCTTTGGTTTGGTATAGAATTCAATATGTTATGTGAATTTAACTTTATAGTGGTTTTTAGTATTGAGCAGAATTGGAATGTTCTTTGGTCTAAAAAGTCAAACTACACATCAACTAGGATTTGCATCAAATGTGGTTCTTATCATATCATATTGATGTATGTTAAAGGGGAGTAGTGCAGGTGGTGGGAGAGAGCAGGATGATTGACAAGCTGTCATGCTTGTCAATCATCCAAGCTGTCCCACCCCCTACAGGTCACTCTCACAGCACTGGGCAGCTCCTTCAGCAACAGACTGATACACCCCAAGTGTGTGAAGGAGAGGTATCGAAGGTCCTTCCTTCCTGCTGCTGACAGACTCTACAATCACTGCTCGCAGTAGCATACATCTGTATACAATTTTTATAAATACCCATATTTATTATTTATTATCARTAGTAAATACACTGCCACACCCTTACTTTTTGTAAATTCATTTTTTTTGCAAACTGAATATGTCCATATGTATATAGCAGTATATTCTTTCTATTCTATTTTCTTACCTTTAAATTATCTTGTTTATTTTTCACTATTGTTATTGTTTTTTAAAAACTCTACTGTCCTGTTGCTGCTTTGACAAAGAAATTTCCCCGTTTGTGGGACAATAAAGTTATTCTGATTCTGATAGTGTTTTTATCCCTAGTATCCATCCAGTTTTTCTCATTATTTCAGTGGTTCTGTGTACCTTTTGTCCTGACGAGCCCCTCCTCTGCCAACTTCACTGTTGCTGCTGTCACCAAACTACACCAGGAGCCGTGGACTGGCAAGCTGCAGCTGGAAGAATTGGGTTGCTGGGTCGATGACATCCTGTTGATGGTAAAGGACACCGAATGGCGTCATTGCTGTTATTAGGCATTTGTTTGTTTCACCAACATTAACTCTGTTGCAGTCGCATAACTGAGTAAATGTCTTCATCCCAAGGCCATTGGAGGGGTCTGCTACCAGGCGTTCTACCAGAGAGTCCTGTCCATGGCCACTGATGCCCAAGCTAAGATCACCTGCTATGCAGCAGCAGTAATTTGTCCACTTCTTGGTATCCCATCAATCATCATTGGGGGAGTGGCAGCATCTACCAGTACTTAGTCTTAACCATCTTATCATTGCTTTCACTTTCTTAAGTAAATAGTGCACCTCCCTTGGTAATCCATCATTGGTAGTTGTTCTATTCCACACAAATCAAACATTCCTTACCAAATCAAACACCTAATCCTAATGTTTCTTGTTTTATGACATCTGCTTAATTTGTCTCAGATTGGAACCAGACCAGTTATGGTTCACCCAGCCCATATGAAGAGGGCCAAGCTCGGATGATCTTGCCGATTGCCCTTCAGCATCTTTGCCCTTTCTATGTCTCACTGGTCGGTATTGGAGCGCTCGCTGCATCTGTGATGTCATCCATCGACTCCGCCCTTCTTTCTGCCGCCTCCCTAATTGGTCGGAATATCTTCAAGAATATCATCTACAAACGGGTAACACTATTTTATTGTCACCACTTGTTGGCTGACTTGTTGACACCTGGTTCTTTCCACAGACTCTGAGGATGTTTACATTTACTGTTTGATTCCTGTACATCATAACATTCTTTACAAGTTGTTGTGACTTGCAGTAGGCCTGAACTTTTGTGTACATTTTGTGCCTTTAAAAGCAGAGAATTTTAAAAACAGGCTGATGTTTAGCATGTTCACCAGTATGCAAAGAAATGCATGGTACGTATTCAAGTACATCATGAATATTTTCGGACCTTCGATTGACTAACTTAAAACACGTGTTTAATTAATGGTTCAAAAATGATAATGAAATAATACCAACTTTTGAAGGCTTTTTTTGGTCAAGTCTCATCTTTATTTTGGAACCTCAAAAACTAAGATTGTTTGAATAAAAGTAACTTGATGGCTCATATATAATTCTTTCTGCTGTTTCAGGCATCAGAGCGAATGATTATTGTGGTGGTGAAGGTGTCCGTCCTCCTGTGTGGAATAATTGCAGCAGCCTTCGCCATGACATCAAAGTCGTTTTACCTGTTGTGGTACCTCAGCGCTGACGTCTTGTATTCAGTGATGACTCCGCATGTGATTTGCACCTTCTTCTTATCCCAGTGGGTGAACCAGTATGGGGCCTGCTCTGGCTTTGTGTTGGCGATACTGTTAAGAGCTCTGATAGGGGAGCCCCAGATTGGCCTCCCCGACGTGCTGCCCCTGCCGTGGGACAAGATCCAGGAGGACGGTCACCGGTACAGATTGTTCCCTTTTCGTACTGTCATCATGCTCCTCGCCATTGTGACTATTTTACTGGTATCACGACTGGCTAAAATGGGACTGTTGAACAGAACAAGTGATGCTGAAACGGACACAAACCTATGTTCCATGGCACCAATCCAGACAGATATGGTGGAAGGCAAGAGGTTGGACAAAGAACAGCCTTTATTCTCCGAAGGAGATGACGTTTAATCCAGGATTTGTTTATGACGGTCAAACAACCTCTGACACTAAAGAATCCCTGAACGTCTTAGAGTTTTGTTGAACAATCCCTTTACTGAAACACACAGATATTGGTTTTATATTATCTGAGCAAACTTTATACTATTTTAATTTTGAATAATTCAATTTTCTATCCTGGAAAATACAAAAACAAAAAACAAGAGGTGATGAGATTAATTAGAAAATGTATCATGATGTGATTTGGGTGAACCAATGCTTCAAATATTATACCTAGGGAATCTAAATCATAGATAAATTGTGATTTGTGAAGGCAGACAAAATTTGATTGATTGATTGATTGATTGATTGATTGATTGACTGTATATAAAGATGGACAACATGACCGCTCCCCAAAAGTGAAGCCAAAGCCCCCTGGTGGCTGGTTGCATTATATATTTACTAGAGCCCAGTGGATATGTTAACAGGTCTGATGTCACCTATTATGACTCTTCAAACTCTGGGGTTTTGTTTGAGTGGATTGTCATGTTTGCTCTGAGCTTGTGAGGATTCTCTCCGGCACGTTGTCTCATATGAGCCGTCAGGCATGTGAAGAGAATTGATACCAAAGAGTTTGTGTAATTTGGTGCAGATTGATTGAATTAAAGGGGAATGTTGGGCCTTGGTGGACGTTTGAGCTCTGCTGAGTGCCCTTAATCCCAAATTCCATCAAAATCAGCTCATTGCTTCAGTCAAAAATAAAACAATGTCATGATAATTAGTCTAATATTACTTTGAAATATATGTGCTTACAAGTGATATTTGTCAACAGAGACAGTGTTGAATTTGAAAATTTAATTACACATCTGTGAAAATTGCACAGCCCCCTTAATATTGTGTCTTCACTATCTGGAGAAATCTGCCTGGACTCAAATCCTTAGGGAATAAAGGAGGCAGGGACAGAGAAAAAAAATCTAAATCAAAAATCAAAGCACTGCTAGTTATTGCAGTCGTAAAGGCTAAACAACATGGGGCCCACTCTGAGTGTGGGAGGGGAGGAGGTGGTGGCCTCGGGGCGATGATGTGGAGATGCACAGAGGACGTCCTCAGTGCTCTCTGAAGGACTAAGAGGGTTAAAAGAGGAATGCTGCCTAATTTGACCTTTGAAGATTTTACCTTTGACCTCAGGACCTTCTGTCTCTTAAGAGGAACAACAGAGGAGCTTGTCCCACAACGTGAGCATCAGCTCAGCATCTACCACACACAAATGAAACCTTAGGAAGATGCCGAGGATGACAAATGTGTAAAAAAAGAAATTGAAAATGTCCAGTATCAGTGACTTGTTCATGTTCAAGTTTTTTTCCAGCCTTATGTGTAAAACATACAGTGGGAGGGAAATTGCATTTCTCAGGCCCCGTGTGCACAAACAGTTAAAAGAGATAAAGCACATAAAAAGATGCAGACTTACCTGCGGATCACAGGTGGAGCTTATTGTGACATCTTGAGGGATCTCCAGGTGAGGCTGGATATTCAGCCGAGCTCTCCAACACAAGCTGAAACTGGAAATTAAGCAGTTTCTTTGTATCAGTTTGAGTAGGTTCTGATCCAAAATAATAAGACTTCTGGATATTGATAAACACTTTCCATAAATATAATTTGTATCCAGTCGAATTATCCTTAAAATCCACTTTAATGTTGCAAAATTAATTAAGAAAAAAAGTAGTGTGAGTAATATAATCAAACATTTAAAGATAATATCAAAAAGCCTCTTCCACTTGCTCTGAGTCTGAGCAGGAGCTGAACTGTCTCTCTGTGTGTCAGCAGCTCTGGATTCAGTTCAGTGAAAGTCAACACCAGCTGCTCCACCTTTAAATAATGATCCACGTAACAGGTGTGGACCAGACACACACACACACACACACACACTTTTTCAACTATTTCCAATCATTCCTTCATGTTGATGTGTGAGCTCTGCAGGGGTTAGGTTAAATGTTTTGCTTTACGCTCCTGTGTATGAGGACATGAGGAATGTTTTTGCCAGTAAAATGTCCTCCATTTGTGCTTAAGTCACTTGGAATGATGATTATGAAAGCTGTGGTTCTGGGGTGGAAGTTTTGAACTGATCTGATGAAGTGGAATGTTGATGACCATCAAACTATKTGTGTAATTTGCTTGACACTGGTCTGCAATACTCTGTATTACACTTGATATTTTTATTTCATTAATTTACTTTAATTCATTTACAATTTCTACTTTTTTCTTTCACTATTATATTTGTACCTGATAGTCTTATTCACTGTATTGTCCTGTATTATACACTGCTGGTATCTTGGAGCAAGCTGACAAAAGAATTTCCGTGGGGATCAATAAAATCTTATCTTATCTAAATACATCACATTCAACGGAACTTTATTCTAGCTCCCTTGGATCAATATGAATGACCATAGGAGATACTCATTCACCTTGAAGTCTGTAACAACTTGTGCAGATCTGAAACTATCTGAATAGCTTTACATTTAGGACTTTTTAGTACTTTTAAATCAAATGAACATAAACCCATGTCACATTTCAGGGCTCTTGATGGACGATTTGGTCCAGAATTTCACAATATAACAAACCACTGAGACGATGCCTTTTTATAAAGAGTATTTATTTTTCTGTAAAACATCAAAAACAAAAGATGCTGATAGAAGGCTGCTCACAATAGGATAGGTAAAGGAAAGATGAAGCTTCACGGCACATTTTACACAATGTTAAATGATTCTTGTGCTCAAACTAAATTTAAAAAACCCCAATGATTTCTTGTCTTAATTCAAAACCGTTAGAGCAACACAACCGCATTATACTGCTGGATAAAAAGAGAGATGCTAACAAACACAAATCAGCCTATTTTCAGTCTAACACAAGAGCAGAAGCAGCTGTAACAGTAACACTTCAAGGTTAAATATAAAAGTATGTGACTTTGAAGCACAAGAATACTGTAACAAAGTTTAATGTTCCAAAGTGACCACATTTTCTTACACAGCAGACAAGTGATTGACAGTAACATGCATTGAATTCCTCGATTTACCATCTTTTTAAATGCTTTAAGGTAGCCTCTTGTAAAGTATGACACTCGAAAAAAACTTTCTTTATCTTTGTCATAATGTTAAACAACAATTCTCTAAAACAGATCAGAAAATGATCAAAATACTCTATTACTACCTTATCGTTCTCTAAATGTGACAGCTTTGAGTAACTAACTTATCATATGAAGATTTGCTGTTACACATTAAAACACTGGACTTAATTAGCAGAGACTCAGATTGTTTATTTTAAATTCAATGATAAAAAAAGATATCATCACATTAGTCAAAATGTGTTTTCATGACTCAAACCATCATGATCAGATCACCACCACAATGACAATCACATGATTTAAAGATTTACTTGAACATTTTAGAGACTTCAGCGATCAGCCTCACCACTGATCAGAGCCATCGTTTAATAATCATCGCTGCCCTCGTCTTCCTCGTCGTACTTCCTCTTCAGGGAGTGCTTCTTGTGCTTAGCCCTGTGCCTCCGCTTACCGGCGAAGTCGGGGTTCGCATCCCTTGTATGCAGCTGCTCGTGCTTCTTCAGAAGGCCAGGGACAGAGAATCCCTTCCCGCACGTGTCACATGTCCAGGGCTTCTTGCATGTGTGAGTCCTTTTGTGGACGTTCAGATGGGACGCCAGCTTGTAGGTTTTCCCGCACACGTCGCAGCTGAAGGGTCGCTCGTTGCTGTGCAGACGGATGTGAACCTTCAGATTCCCCACCTGAGTGAAGCTCTTGTCGCATATGGAGCACCGGTAGGGCCTCTCTCTGGTGTGGATCCTCAGGTGCACCCTCAGGCAGTACTTGCTGGAGAACTTCTTTTGGCAGATCGGGCACGGGATCTTAGCTTTGGGCACGTGGTCCTGCTGGTGCCTCTTCAGGTCGGACAAATAGACGAAGGTCTTGCCGCACTGGGAGCAGAGATACTGGCGGTCGCCGATGTGGTAGCCCATGTGTCTCTTCAGCAAGCTGGGAACGAGGAATCTCTTCCCGCAGCGCTCGCACATGTGAGGGCGATCTCTGGTGTGCCAGCGCTCGTGGTTCGTCAGCTTGAAGGCTGTTGGGAAGTTTTTGTTGCAGTGCTTGCAGGGGAACGTCACCTGGCTGGTGTGGCACTCCATGTGTCTTTTGAAGTAGGTGGACTGCGTGAAGCCCTTGTTGCAGATGTTGCAGTAGAAGGGCTTTTGGCCGTTGTGGGCGAGAATGTGTTTCGTCAAGCTCTGCAGTTTCGTATAACACTTGCCGCACTGGCCGCAAGCGTAGGGACGCGCCGTGCTGTGGGTCTTCAGGTGGTTGTTGAGGAACGCCTGTGTTCGGAAACTTTTGTGGCACGCCGTACACATGAAGGGCTTCTCTCCGGTGTGAATGCGCTCGTGGTCCATAAGCTTGGACTGATAAGGGAAACTCTTATCGCACACGCTGCAAGTAAATTTGTCAGACGAAGGCCTGATTTGCTTTTTCCTTGGTCTTATGCCATATCCTCCACCCAGACTGGCTGGAGGAAGTGGTGGCAACGCGGGAAGTGAGAGCGAATTAGTGGCGATCTGTGACACCCACTGATGCAGCGTGACTCTCTGAGTCTGCGGCTTTTGACCATCTTTAGTTCCTGCACTGCCTGTGTTCTGTGAGGCGGAGGGAGTTTTAATCGGAACGACCTTGAAAGGGATTGTTTTCAACGGCAACTGTTGTGGTTCTGGTTTCTCTGGTGTTGCTGATGCTCCATCTTCTGCTGTGCTCTGTTCAGTCGTGGGAGACTCTATCTGTGTAGAGCTCTTCTCCTGCACCAGATTCTCCCTCTGAGCTGCTTTAGGAACACTTGTTTCCTTCACAGCGCTGCCCCTGCCCGTTTTATCACTGAGTCGCCCTCTTAGCAGTGGTCTAGCAGCGGGGGTTCCTGGGCTGTCCGAGTCCTCTGACATCACTCCCAAGTCTTCAGTGTCACTGAGGGAGGGTGGGCTTGCGTCCATGAGGGTGACTTGTAGTGGTTTGGGAGATTCTGCTGGTGGGGGTGGTGGGGGTGGCGGAGGTGGCGGTGGCTCTACTGGTTTGGGCCGAAAGGCAAGTGAAGAGAGTACGCAGTCGCCCACTGATGAAGAGATGGTAGCTGTGCAAAAATAAAAATCTTTGTGAATTTCCTTTTAAATGTTTTACAGTTAAACACAGCTCATCTACTTTGTTGAAAGATTTCATAAAGCTGTCATGTCCTGTTTCCTGTATTTCATCACATCTTTATACAAACCACCAAAGTGTACCTTTAACACCAAGGAGTCCTTTGGCCTGCTGGTGTAGGAGGAGCGTCTTCAGGTCCTTGGTGTCGGGGATGAAGCCTCCACACGCCTCCAGGACGCTGGGATCAGATGAGATCATGGCACCGAGCTGAAGTTGAGAGGCATGAGATTGAAATGCATCTTTGTTTAAAATGAAAGAAAAGAACTTGGTGTCTTTTCAGAAAGCTGTCACAGTTTTTTTTATTCTAACCTATGTGCAATATATAAGAAAGGAAATCCTGAATCCAGTTCCTGAAAAGATGAATTCCTCAATTCATTGAATTCTGACCTTGTTTTAATTTACTTTGCATTTTAATGTATTTAGCCTGCATCAACATGGTAAATAAGTCTGATGAAATGTAAAGCAAAGTAACTTATCCTGCTTTAACAGCACCAGAGTAACTGTTGTTAAAATCCAATGACAGTATCTGTGCTTACCTGGGTCAGATTAGGAACAGGAAGGAGCTGCTCCAGCTTGCACACCAGGCCTGCGGTCAGAGCCTGCAGCGCCGTGTCAAACTTTGTGCCATACTGAACAGGAAACACTTCCTGCAGAGAGAGAACAATGTGTCCAACACGATTGTAAGGTTAAAATCATGAACGCTGAACACCTAATACAAAAGGAGAGAGAAATGAATGGTATTTGTCATTATCCACATGCACAGTGTTTTAATGCAGCTGAACTCTTGGTGTGTCTGTCATTTATTTGCATGTTTTTCTACTTCCCTTCACAGACAATGGAACGAGTGTGATCTCTGAGCAGATGCTGTGCAGTGATATTTTTTATTCAAGTACAGGCACACAGCCTCTGTCACCACATCTAAATGAGCTGCAGCAGTGGATTGAACAGATTTATGTGATGACAACTAATGAGTGTCTGATACCAGATGGATGTGGATACCTGAAAGAAGCGCTTCCTTTCAGCAGGGCTTTTCAGCAGACTCTGGACCAGCACCAAGAAGTTGGTTTGACATTTCTCCACTTCTGTCTCCTTCTGCAACACAGTTAAGATTTGATTTTAGTTTTAAACCCTTAAAGCTGGTTCAACTGTTTATGTGTCTCGGGAATAAACTTTTTTTTCTCACCCCTGAAGAAGAGACCTTCAACTTGTTGATAAGAATTTGAATGGCTCGGGTATCCGGAGGGCCCTCTTTGTGAAGCAAATCCAAAATGATCTGCAGCACAAGAAAAGAAACTGATTATTGCCATCAAAGAATCCAAACCTTTCAAAAAACAAACAGTGTTTTGCAAAATAATAAATTCTTCCCTTAATCCAAAAAAACAACCAATTCATTTCATGGTAAGAGGGATGGAGTAAGAGATAATTTCAAAGACTCTCTGTGTGCTTGACACAAGTGGTTTGTAATACGAAACACATGGAGTTCATTGACATCAGTGAGGTGTCAATAACATTAAGAGACAAATCAGTAATTGGATTTTAGAAGCCTGGAGGGCGCGCAGCATCAAAGGCTGAGAGTGAGGGGGGGATATGGTGCTTAAATACACTGTCTGAGGAATGGAGTGCAGGGACCAGACAGCAGCCAGACTATACGTCTCATCTCACACAAAATACCGCTCCTTGGTTTTTATCTCTATCCACCCAAGTGCACTGTTGCTCACATAAAAGAAATCGAATTGTCGCATGTTGGATGCTCACCCTCGCTCTCAACCCCAGGATGAGCTGGGCAGTCTGCTTGAAACCCATCAGCTCGGGAACCGTCTGCGTCACCATGGTCACAAACTCCTCCACCTTGCCGTACTGCTTCACGTTTCGCTGTCGTATGACCTGCCATAGGTACGAGTACGTCAGCTGCAGGGGGGAGGCCATTAAGCGGAGGGAAGTGAGGGGCAGGGCACCTCCAGCACCTGTCAAGAAAAAAACATTTACCAAATACTGTCCATTTGGATTACCTGTATAAACTGGGTCATTTTAATATTTCAAGTATTGAGGCTTTTCAGATTGATTTTCTATTTTATATATCTTGTTTTATAATAACTCTGACTTTGAGTGTATGTTCCTAGTCTACTTGCATGAACTAAATATATTATTCTAATGTGTGTAAATGAGTCTGAGACCATCTGATTCTGTGTACTTATGTAGTATATATACCCTTTTATTGATTATACACTGTACTTTATATTCACTGTATATGTTGTGTGTTTGTGTTTACAGTCCGGGATCATCAACACAACCAAAGTAACCAGCCTAGCAAGTCTTCCCTCTATCAGTGGAGTGATGTTGGGGTTGATCTGAGTTCAGTGCAAACTCCCATCAGCAGGTTTGGTTGTGCAGGTGGAACAACGGGCTGCTGTAGGGGGCGCTGCTGTGCTAATGTCACGGTTCGATCCCCTGCAAAGGGTTTTGAAAGTGTGCACGTTGCGTGTGCATGTGCAGTCGTGTAGAGAATGAGCGCCAATCTGCAGCAGAGTTCGAGTCAAACTCTCAAACACACGCAGCACAGAGCGCTGCTGCTTGTGGAGGCAGAGGAGGCTCATGATACACGATGCTACCGCGGGTCGGTACAGCCGGAAGCGCGAGGGTTTCATTTTGAAATCAAAGCTAAAGCTAGCTCGCTAACCACCACACACACCGGATATAACCGCACAGACTCGGTTGTATTCTCGCAGATCGGCGACTAAGAGCCGGCGATGGGGTCTCATTCTCAGATGATCGCACATGTTGCATCCTATTCTCTCCACCGCGCTCCCGGCGGCGGCTGCTGCCGTTAGCTTGCTAGCCTTAGCTTAGCAACTTACCTGCTGCATCGGAGCGTTTCTCCATCGTGTGAGCAGGAAGTGGCGCTAACACATGTCAACCAGCCCGCGGCACCGTGCACGTTCACCGTGAAGTCGCTCACACCGAAATATAACGTTAAAAACGATTTAACCGTCTTTCTGCGCTACGTCAAGCCAGGAAGAATAATGGCGACCGCTGGGGCAGCGGCTTTCCAAAACAAAAGTCCAAGCGGTTCCGGCGGATGTTGCTGTATAAAATAAAAGCACCGTATTTTGAAAGGTTGAGTTGAGGGAACATAAGTTGGAATGAAGTTATCCTTCATAGGAACGATTTGATATGTAACATCATATAGTAGAATGTGTAATATCCCTTAATTTACCATTTAGTCAGATGTTTAATAATATAATAATAATTATATATATTTTTTATATTAGTTTTTGTGTATATTTACTCATGTCTACATCCTTCCTAATTTTTGAAGACTGTAACACAGTATAATAAAGTCAAATGTCCAATCACAACAACACGAGTTCAACATTCAAACCATCAACACAGCTTTATTACTACAAATTGTATTGATGTCAGTACTGGCATAATGGTCACATGTTCAATCCGTTTCATTGAATATATTCTGTCTACACCATATATATATATATATATTTTTTTCCCTTGTGTTTATATTGCATATTAATGTATTTATTACTTTATTGATGTTTATTTTTTATTCTCCTCTTTTCTGCTGCAATACAGCAAATTTACCCAATAAAGGAATCTTATCTTATCTTATCTTGTCTTGTTAGTGTAATCCAGTGGTTCTCATGCCAGGGGGCATGGATGACCAGAGGGAAATATAAAGTGACACCAAGTTGCATGAATATGTTAGAAAGTCAGCATGGTGCTGTCGTGTTGACCTTTTTAAATTAATTGTTTCCCCTTTGATTGTGATTGATTGATAGGCAATTGTGGGGTCTGGTTGAGAAGCACTGGTTTAATTCATGAATCAATATCAAATCCTAAAATCCTTAAAACAAAACCAAGATAATTCAATCCACGTGTCTTTCAGAAGCTGAACTATTTGCTGCTGTTTTATTCAATAACATACTCATTATTAGAAATATATATACAAACAGATTCAGACTTTATGTTATGCACAATTTTTCCAATAGGAATAACTATCTTTATATTATTGACAAATACACATATAACACTGACAAAATAGTTTTGCTCATAGGCTATCAGCAGGGAGTAGACAAAATAATGCCAACATTTCATTAAAAAAAGGAATTTGACCAAATCGCTTACAAATCTAAATGCTAATTAGCCATGAAACGAACAACAATGCACACTTTTTCTTGTGAGTTTTCACAATAATAGGAAACAGTAAACAGAGGACAATACAGTTGCAGTGTAAGTATAAGTCACAGAAATCAGGATAAACTGAAGAGAAAGGAATCAGAAGTTGAAATAGTTGACGGATATAAAGACGGGGGAGATGAATGCGTCTATTGGCATTTACGACAACCCACGACAGTAGAAATATTTGCCCTAACATATTTTACTTCACAGTAATACTGTATTTTCCCTGAGCGTTCACAGTATTTTGTCTACCTCCTTTACATTATTATTGAAAATGTTAATCACAATCATTAAGTATCTTGTAACAAAATAAGTTAAACATTTCACAAATACACATTTTCACAAAATTACAAAAATTAAAATCACACAGGTTGGTCACTGAGAATATTCGAAACAACAGTAGAACTTTGTCCGCAGCAGGAAAACAGTGGAATGAAGGAAAATCTTTCCGCATTTCATTGATTGTGTTTTGGAAGTCAATCACTCAAACACAGAAAATTGTTATTGAAATACTAACCATCCTCTGCAGATGAGGCCACATAGCCTGCGGTCTGGAGGGATTCTTCGCCTGTTGATTCATAGGGGATCTGCCGACATCAGTCGTGTTTGTAACTGGCATTTCCTCCAGCCTACGGCCAGTTCTTTTGTGGCGAGAACAAGCCCTCCTTATGCTCGTCGCTGAGCTCATCCCATCCACCCATCTATCTATCCCTATCTCCCTCATACTCTCTCATCCCGCCCGGCCTGTCTCTCGCTCCCCACTCTCTCTGACATGTACAGTACGAGAGCGATCACACTCATGTTCCCGTGACTGAATGGGATTGACTCAGTGAATGAGACATTAAAAACTCTAACACACTCACTGTGGCTGAGCAGCAGCTATAGATCACTGGGCAACAGCTTCGAGATACAATGACGGGATTCAAAGGACCCCTGGCAATGGCTATCTGCCATCTGGTCAGATCTTTGACACACAAAGTGAGACGCTTGTTGAGCTGCTCTAGCTGTTGTTTGCGACTAGCAGGTTCACATTCTGTGACAGATCACAGATCACACAAGTACAAGATAAACTGCTGCTGCAATTCAAGTGTTTTACTAAAGACTGGTTTGGTAGGAACGTGCCTCTTTACACATTCCCCAATTGCATTTCTGCAGAAACCAGGAAACAGGAGCACGATGATTCTGCATCCGACAAGTTGATGACAGGTGTATCATCTTAGAAAGAAAGAAATGTCCTCAAAATATCGGATATGATTTTGATCTGTGACATTTGATTGCAGCTTTAAACTGGAACCTGGGGATCCCTCTGAATGGCACCAGTGCAGAGTGGCAGGAAAGTCAAATATATCAACGTGATCTGCTCTAATGAGGCCAGTCGCCTGCTGCTGAACACCAGCCAAGGCGAGACGATTTATACACCTCACCAGCCATGTTGGCAGATAACTTGTTGTGTCTCTTTGAGTGGTTAGGTGTTAAAAAATGCCTTGAGGGAAGTTTGCGACACGCCCTTCCTCCTTCACAGCAGGTGAGTTTCTATCATGGCCGCTCTCTCAAATGAGTGAAAGCAGGAGGAGGAGTGTCAGTCCACACTCGTTTACATCCAGCAGGCTCCTGCCAAGAACAGATCAACCTGCAGAGAGTTTTTCCTTCTCTTCTTTATTCCGTGCTTCATCCACTCTCATGCTCGGGCATCGCCTCCCCCGCTGGCTGAGTGTCGGCAGCGTGGGTGAGTGTTTGAAGTGGGATGGAGACAGACACACTGGCAATCGTGTCAGAAGATGGCGTTCGGTTATTTTCGGTGTTGCACACTGGTAAGCGCCTTCCAGACCTGACCTAAAAATAAAAAAATGTGAAAAATAGAAAATGACTCTTCTGTCCTGTTTCGTATGATGGATGCATGACATTATAAATCTCCAAAGTGAACATCATTACATTAGGTAATAACTGAGCCTCAAAGTACTGCTGAATATTTGATGAGCAGTTAATAACTTTACAAGATTTGACTTCCTGGAAGTGCTGACTGAAACAAAGGAGCATTATCATGAAGGTTTTATAAGACTGACCCACAGAGACCGCGAGAGGCACAAGAGTCACTGCGGTCACAAAAGGGTTTGGTGGAGGCTTCTCATAATGTATAACATTAGAAAAAGCAAGCAAACCACTATAATTCAGAATATGTACAGTTTATGGCATATCCCCAGATGGGCATCCTCTCTGAATAAATAATAATAAAATGGACCCCAAGAGAATTTTTCATCCTAGAAGAAGTGGAAACATAAAACACATGCTCAGAAGTACTGATAATAAAAATAGAAATAAATACTTATTGTTATATAGAAACTATTAATTTCCTCTGGGTTTGACATAACTGACCTTATATACATGCACGCAATCATTGGATTGAGTAGTGTGAATACAATGTCAGGATCTACTGTCTCGGACATTTGCGTTCTCAGACCTTCTGGAAAAGTTTTGGAAAATGTTTGGACTTGTGTGAAATCAGCTGTTGTTAAGTTCGTTAGGGTGAGAACACTTTCTAATGAGTACTCGATGGTATTTTCATTATATTTTGAAGGTATTTGTTCATTAAACAACGTCCTCAAAACTATTTCTCCATGTTCCTATATTTCTTGTAAATGAAAATACAAAATGGGATGGTTCATGTATTTACCTGCCACACTATAAGAACAACACAGGCTATGAAGGGGATGAGAGCCAGGAGCACGGGCGCTCTCTTGGACCAGCTGTATACACGAGTGTCTTCCTGACCACCTAGGGAAAAACAATATTATCGGAAATTTAACTGAATACATAGTTACAGCTCAGAAATCTGATAGTAGGTAGCCAGGTACACTTGATGTTTATTTATCGAACCAGTGAAGGAGATTCTGGTTTGACCAGTTTACTTCCATTTTGAGATGTTGATTGGCATAAAAAGGCTTTGCCAAGTACTGGCTTTTGTAAAGCTTTTTCCATTTGTCCAGGGTATATGGTTTTTATTCGCTTGACCACTAAATCAATATCTTCTCTCGGCTACTGAGCTGCTTTAATTTTTGAGGCGTTAATTGAAAATCAAATCAAATTCCTAATGCAAATGAATAATGTACCTGGTGTCTGATGTGGATTGAGACACGGTGGTGGCTTGCACGAGAAGCCGGATGTCCCCTGAGCGGCGGCGTGTAAGATATCTTTGATATAGTCGAAGTAAAGACCGGACATTAAGCTCCCATCTCTGTAGTGACACTGGAAGACTTGCATTGTAGTTTCCTGGTGGGAATCAAACCACAAGAGATTCTGACGTAACTCAGTTAAAGAATTAAATGTGCAAATTATTACATACTCCTGTCTAAATCAAGCTGCAGATCACTCACCAGCTCCTCATGGTCGAAGGTGAAGCGTAAACTCTTCAGCATCGCAATGAAGACGATTATGTTTTCCTTGTTGGAGGAGATGGCACCGAACATGCTGGCCAGCTTTCGAAGACTTTGCTCTAAAGGATAGATGTTTAACACCACCCAGCACGGGCCAGCCTGCAGACAAAGGATTGAAAAGAGTCAGATATTAAAAGTGTCATCTCCATTTAACAGGTTCATGCCAGTTCTGCGGTCACAGCTTCATACCTACCACTTCTTTGGGAATGTAACTAACAGGAATTTCATAATCAGACGGGATATTCTGCTTCTATGATGGAAAACATGACAGAGAGAGATTTTTACAATATGATATCAGCAACAGAGATCATGTGACAGTAATACATACTGTAGGTACCAGTTTCTATGATTTTGTAATCTCACCAATAAAGACAGCTTGCTCACATCATCAGTTATCGGCGTCCCGAATTTTCCAGAGCAGAGATTCAAACTTGTGAACAGACTCAAGAGGAGACAAGGTGCTTTCAAGATCTGCAGGAGGGGAAGCATCAGTTAAAGTCCGCTGTATTTATCATAGAGTAACAATGACGTTATGTTTTGTTTTGAGGACATTAATCCTAATTCAGATGAATCCAGTTCACACTTAAGAACTGATTACTGAAACCTCACTGACACCCACAGTGCCTTGCTCAAGGGTACTACGGTGAGGTTAGTCACCCTGATGAAGGCTAGTGTGCCACGATGTGTAGGTGCATTTTAAAAGAAAATCTCTACCATGCATAAGCCACACTAATTAAGGCTTTTTAATTTTGTGCCTTGGTTCATTACTTTTTTTTGCATCAAAATTTACCACCTCTACGTCAAATACGATTTTAAGGAAAATATTGTATTTCCAAACAGACGTGCTCTCTTCTTTGTCCTTTCTACATTGAGCTATGATTGTATTTTTGTTCAGCACAGCTAATTAACCTTCCCTGCCCAGGAAGGATGAGGTTTCCAATGTCTTTTCTAAACATACAGGCTGTTAAAATAAGGATTTTTCATAAATTATGATGTTAAAGCAGAGAATCTGTCCTCAAGTCAAACAAATATTTGTTCATCTTTTGATGATCTTGGTGTATTTAGTGTGTTGAGGGTGTGGGGGGGCATCACAAACTCTAGGATTAAATGAACAGTTGTATGTGCGTGTGCATCATAAGAATCAGTTAAAACATGATATTTGACGAATAATCACAAAGACACACTTCGACATGCACAGCGTATGCAGTCATGTATAATATATTTCTCTTCTTCATAAATACAGAATTCAGTTCACAAAATCTTTCTTCACATTGGTTTGATGTTACATTTCCTCAAGTGCTAAATATCAGATTTCCTCCATTAGTATCTCAGCAATCTCAAATAGAGCTGCATTGATTTGTCAATGAATCAATAAATCAAACACAAAATGTATCTGCAACTATTTTGATAATCGATTAATCATTTTGGTCATTTTCTGGTTCCAGCTTCTCACATATTAATATTTTTATTGACTTTGGTCAATATTTTTGGTTAACTGCAAATCTGAATCGTTAATTTGACAAAACTGGCAATTCTTTGACATGACCCTGGGAAGTGACACATTATAATATTATTTTATCACAAATATTCTTAAAAAC